TCGGCAGCATCCCGCCCCTCCGGCCGGGCTCGGTCTGGGAGGCGGCCGAGGCCCCCAGCGCCGCCGTACTCACCTTGGCGTGCCCGGCTCCTGCCTCCCTGAGCCGCCTTCAGAGCGAGCCCGTCCTCCATGAGGGCCTTTCTGTCGGGACTCCGCGGGATGTAGTGCTCCGCTGATCCCCAGCTTCCTCCGCTTTCCCACTGTAGGAAGAAATCAGCCAAATAAAACGCGGCACACACCCCCAGCCCCTCTTTGAAGCTGCAGATTTTTGACCTTGGCGTGCCCGGCTCCTGCCTCCCTGAGCCGCCTTCAGAGCGAGCCCGTCCTCCATGAGGGCCTTTCTGTCGGGACTCCGCGGGATGTAGTGCTCCGCTGATCCCCAGCTTCCTCCGCTTTCCCACTGTAGGAAGAAATCAGCCAAATAAAACGCGGCACACACCCCCAGCCCCTCTTTGAAGCTGCAGTTTTTTGTTTTTTTTTTTTTTTTTTTTTCTTGAAGGAAGATAAACCCCTCTCCTTCCCCGAGGGGAGGTGGCTACTGAGGAGCTGTTAAGGCAGAAGGATGCTCATATGGCAACATATTTTGTAAGTAGAAGCCCCCCCTCCCCGTCCCTTCCCGAAGGACAAAGCCCCCCCGTGCGTGTAGTCGGGTGGCCGGGTTTCTCGAGGTGGTGTGGGGAAGGTGTGGGTCTGGGGGGGCGGAGGTTCACAGGCGTGGTGAGGCTGTCGCAGGGACTGCCGCACACTGTCGCAGCTGCCCTGCCTTCTCCCCCAGCCCCTGCCACGCGGCGCGGAGCCGCGACATTCCCCCCGGGAAGCGATGGGACAGTCTGGAGGGCAAAGAGCACCTTGGAGCCCGAGCAGGGGTGGAGGGGCAACGCGGTGGGGGTTTCGGAGAAGCTTTTGGACACCTCTGAAAGACAGGCAGGGAAAAGCGGGGCAGAGGCAGGTGGAAGGGCAGTGGCAACCTTAGGCTGTGGCTGGACGTGACCCATCCCGGAGCAACGGTGCTGTGTGATGTAGAGAGAGACGACACCCACGGATCTTTCAAAGGGGGCTTTCGTTTTGCACAGAGCTGTTCCTACAGGCGGGCGTATAAAATCCCACGGGATCTCCCGGGATCGCTCCCGTTCTCTGCGAGACCTGTAAGGAAACAAATGCAGAATGAAGGGGCCTTCACGTATCACTGGCTGCCATGTGCATTTCCTTATGCGATAAAATAGCTGAGCCCAGCAGGTTAGCGAGCGCACCGTGCCTTAGGGGGGTGGGGTGCGGGGCCGGTCCCGGCCCGCGCTCC